GGGCCTCTGTGGTCCAGTGGGTGGGACCCAGCATGGGAGGGCAGAGGCTCAGTGCTGCTGCCACCACCACTATTGCCAGGAGTCCCACACCAGTCATACCACCATGGTGAAGTGCCTGCTACCCACCCAGCAGCAGCAGGGGCACCCTGCTGCTGGTAGCACAGCTGGCGCAGGGCTCCTGACAGTGGCAGGACTGAGCCTCCCCACCCCACTCTGCCCTCCCATGCTGGGTCCAGCCCTCTGAGCTGAGGAGGCCTCAAGGGGGAGAGAAATAGGGTGGGGAGCCCTGAGCCCCATAGCAGGCAGCCCACATTCCCACACCACTCCATGCATAAACCTAGGGAGGACATGTGCCCCCCCATGCCCCTTTCCCCTGGAGTGCATGCAGCAGTGGGGAGCCAGTCCCCCGCCATCCCGCAGATGAGCTGCCCATGGCTCCCACCCACTCCTTCAGCTGGGCCCTGTGGTGCCCCAGCCTCAGACCCCATGCACTGCTCCACTGGGGCAATGCCCCCAGCCCCAGCCACCAACTCTGCCCCACTCCTTCCTTCATCGTGAGGGCCTCAATCTGTCCTCTCCTGCTCCCCCTGCATTGCTTATTCCCCCTCTCCCTTGTGGACTTACCTGCAGACAACTCGGGAAGCTGCTCTCCATTGCTGCCTTGCTGTATTGCTGGCCATGTGCATGTCTGCATGCACAAACATGCACATGACACCCCGTGTGTCCTGTCCCCCCAGCCCCAAGCAGCACCTTGCAGGATGGAACTCTGCCAGTCTGCAAGGGGGAACCTACTGTTTCCCAAATTTTTCTCCTTTAAAGGAGAAAATCTGCATTTTTCTGCAGAGAACAGAAAACCTGGATTTTAACAGCAAGGATAATTAATGACTGAAACAGCTTTTCAATGGATGTGGTAGATTTTCTGTCACTTTTGTTCTAAATCAAGATTGGATATTGTTCTAAATGATACACTCCAGTTCAGCCACAAGTTATTGAACAGATGCAAGAAGCATAGTTTGAAATTCTCTGGTCAATGATATATAGTAGATCAGAGAAGATGACAATATTATAGTTCCTTCTGGCCTGAATATATGAATCTATATTCATGCACTTAAATGGGTGATAGATTTCTTCAAATTGAGTTTTTCAAGAGCACACTGGCAATTAGTTGTTCATCATAAACTCCTTTTACATTTGCATTATTATAAGACAAGTGCATGGTTGCATAGGTATTAGTAGCATTGTTTTCCCCTAGTCACTGGGTAAACTGCTGCAAGGTGTACCAGCAATTAGCACTGCGAAAACTCATGGGCTGCACTATCAATATTTGGAGGCAGATTTAAATATATAGTTAGTCATAGAGGATGGAATTTTATTTTCTTTGCATGTCTAAATGGCAATTTTCTAGCCATCTACCTGGTCATTTTTGGCCCATGCTTTATGTTTTGAAAACGTAGAAGACACAATGCATGTGTAGATTACGGATATGTGCAGCCATCTGGGTGTGCACATAGCCATGTACATGCATAATTTCCAGAAAAACTTTGTAGGGGAGGACTCTCATGTTTCAGTGCCAATGGGGGTTTGGACACTTGCCTAAGAAACCAGAGATCTAGTTTCTAGCCTTCACCTCACATACAGAGGGCTTGAAGCAGCATTTTTCTGACTTTCTAGCACTGTGCTTAAACACAATACTCCAGCTTCAGCATTAACAAGAGGTCTCTCTGGCTAAGTACAGACATTCAAAAAGTGCTCCATCACGCTTTATTTAAAAGCACTAGAAGTTAGAGCATGTTTGAACTGAACAGAACAGACATTTGCTGTTCAGTGGGGAAGCTCACACTGCCCAATGCCAGTAGGTAGGGGGAGCTCTCCTACACTCCCCAGCATGCCCTGTGGACTCAGATACTCCTTAGTGTAGCCAAATGAGCAAGCCATCTTTGATTGGCAGCCTGACATGATGGAGCAATTCCTCCCCCTTCCCACACCCTGCCACTCTGTCAGTAACAGGAATCAGAGAGTCACAGAGAAGCGGGGCTGGAAAGGACCTCCAGGTCAGGCTGGGGAAACCCAGGGCTTGGGATGTAGGGCTGGGAACCCATCCACTGAGTGCCAGTGGGTGCAGGCTGAGCACTGGCATCTTTCTGGAGCTGCAATGGGGATTGGGGGCAGCTGTTCTTCCTGGATCTGCTGCAGATTAGGGAAGGGCAGGGGTGTAAAGTAGGTTCACTCTGAGCCAGGATGGACACAGACACGGACATGGGCATGGACATGGACATGGACATTGATAACCCCACCAAGCCCTGCTCCCTGCAGACAGCTAGCAGGATCTGCAGCATAGTGCCATTTTTTGCTGCACCAGAACTCTGGTGGGGAGGGGGGTGGAAAAGGATCCCCCCTGTTGGCCACCCCCCACCTTCCCAGCTTGGGTCTTGGTGGGGGCAGGGCTGCATCAGCAGCCATCTTACTGACCCATACATTCTCTGACTTATTCTCTTCCTCACCCCACCTATCTCCCTCTCTTGGCTGCCCAAGAGGCAGCCTCCAAGGCACAGGTGACTGGTAGTGGGGGCATGTGCCCCCCAGCCCCGACAGGGCCGTTTTCACTGGCGCTGCTGGTGGTGGCATCTGCAGGTGCTTGCCAGCTCCATCCCTGCCACCGCCGGGGGCTTTTGTGGGTGCCCCCCCAGACTCAGGAGCACCAGTTGCCCAGGCTCCAAGGAGTGCTGGGGAGAAGCCTAGGTAATACCTGACCTATAGTGTGGTAGTTTGAGCACTATGCTAAGAAGTCAAAGAGATGTAGGTCCAAACCTCTTCAAGATGAGGGGGAAACCTATGTCTCCTGATTCCTGGGTAAGTGCCCATGGGCTAACTGTAAGAAGGTATTCTCCTCCTCCATCTGAGCCTTGCTAATCATGTGCTTCCAGCTATCTAAATTTTGGGGGCCTTAGACACTTGTATGTGTCCAGAAGTTGTGTGTGTATGAAGCCATGTATGTGCCCAGCCAGTGAGTAGCTTACTGACCCTGCTATGCACTCATACTTAAGCACTACATTGCAAGGGAAATAGAATCACTACCTGCTCATAAGTGCTAAAAAGACAGGCACTTATGCAACTAAAATGTGCCATTTAGGCATACACAGGGAAATAGATTTTTACCTCTCAAGCTTAATACCCTCATTGACTTCAGTGGGACTACTCACATGCTTTGTAAGCTTGTGAGCAGGACTTGTGCAAGGCTGGGGCCTCAGGGCTGCATAGGCAACTCATACATCTGTATAAATATATACACACACACACACACATATACATATTACATACATGCAAGCATGCATGTGTGTGTGTGTGTGTGTGTGTGTGTGTGTGTGTGTGTGTGTGTGTGTGCACGCGCGCGCATGCATGCAGATGGTTATTGGATGCAAATACAGGAACCCAACAATGCATCCTTCTGATGCTCAAAAATTGAATTGGAAAAAAAAATAATTCCTAAGTGTGAATGAATTAAATACCTTACTGATGACCCTGTTCCTGAAGCATATAATGCATACTGCCACCATGTAGAGCCCTGATGAGACCCATGGGGCTCCTTACAAATGTAATCCTTGCATTGACTTTCCAGCTACAGGTGACTCTGTGATTCTAAGATGTCAGAAATGGGTCCTGTGGCCCAGGTTCAGAAGAGCATTTAAGCACGTCTTTATCTTTATGAACTTAAAAGGGTTCCTTTTGAAGGACTCCTTACTTTCTTTCTAAAAAAAATATTCATTTTAGCACATATTACATTAGTAATGACTTATGGAGGTGTCATTGATTAGCTATAAGGGGAAAAACAAAAAATACCCCATATACAATAATTGAAGACACCTACATATTTCAGAGAAAGAG